TTTCTTGGACTTGATTCCTGCTGCTGTACGATTTTACCCCTCTTTATTATTGTTTATGACAAGACGGTATTTTCTTCAATTTAAGTGTTTAATTTTTGCAAATTTACAAATGACTGAAATACCTTAATATAATGTATTTAAAAAAAAACACTCTACCGTAGAGGTTTAATAGCATCTGTTAAAAATAAATTGAATTCTTAATATATGATTCATTATTCATAAGTATTAAACATAATAAACCTTGTATTCTTGTTCTTTAAGTTAAAAAGAAAAGGCTAAAGAGAAAAAAGAATATTTTGAAGTAAAAAAGCTTACAATGGGAGGGCATAAAGGTCATTTATGGACTAATCAGTACCAATTTTTTAAAAAATCACAAGAAAAAAAAGGAAGAAAATATTTTGAAGTAAAAAAACTTACAATGGGAGGGCATAAAGGTTATTTATGGACTAATCAATACCAATTTTTAAAAAAATCACAAGAAAAAAAAGGAAGAAAAGAAATGAGAGGGGCAAAATAGGACGTGAAAAGGTGAGTTGGAATTGATAAATGGGTCACGTCCGGCTAGAAGAGAGCTTGGGGTGGCTAATTTAGCTCATATAAGAACACAACATCTTTTATCTGAATCTAAAACTAAACTCTCTCTCCCCCTCTCACACGCACGCTCTCTATCTCTCAGGTTTTTATCTCCTTCTAGGTTTCATTTTTTAAAAGAGAAATGGCGGATCAATTGACGGATGACCAGATCTCTGAGTTCAAGGAAGCTTTCAGTTTGTTCGATAAGGATGGCGATGGTTTGTTTCTCTTGATCTATCTTCTGATTTGCTTCTCCGGGTGTTTATGGTTTTTTTTTTTCTATGTTTTTTTGTTTTATTTTATCTTGAATTGTTTTTTACCTTGTTTTTTGGGGGTAAAAGGTGGTTTCTTGTTTTATTTTATCTTCAATTGTTTTTTACTTTGTTTTTTGGGGGTAAAAGGTGGTTTCTTTGATGGAAGTATGTGATTTTGATTGATGGGTTCTTTTAAATTTTGGAAATTTGTTGAAGTTGAGATTGAAAAAACTGATGTCTTGGATGAAAGATGCTTTCTGTCAGTGAAATATGTGATTTTGAGTGATGACTACTTAATAAAATTTGGAAATTTTGATTAAAAAAATAGATTGCTTTTATTTTAGGTTGCATTCAATGATCCAATCAACAAAGGAAAATATTACGTATGTGATGTTTGTTAGCGGTCGTGGAGGATCTGAGATCTGTAATTTAGGGCTTTTTGGCGGCAAATTAGCAATAATCTTCGGAGTCTCTGAATCGGATGATAGTTATATTGTGACGCATAATGAGATTATTTGCTGAATACTGTTTTGCAAATGGTTGTCTGCTATCAAATTAGCAGTTTCTGTGTTCAGCTTGTCTTTGTCTTTGTCGGGTTGATTTGTATCTTAGGTTCTTGAATGTTTGTGATTGGTTGTTTTCGTATTTGGTGGTTGTTAAAACTTTATGAGATATACTTATGTAAGTTGTAAATGAGATTAGGCTTTCCCTGTGAAATAAAAAAACTATACTAGGAATATCGAAGTAGAAGGGTCCTTCAGTTCCTTCCCCTTACGGCATTTTTCTTGCGACATTCATAGAAACAAAATATAATATAAAATGGGAGATTGGATTCTGTGTGTGCTGGTGTCCGTTGAGAACATTAAAACAATTGGGCAATTGGTTTTTCATATGTCTTTTGTTCTTCAGGTTGCATCACAACCAAGGAATTGGGGACTGTGATGAGATCTCTAGGACAGAACCCGACTGAGGCTGAACTCCAGGACATGATCAACGAGGTTGATGCTGATGGAAATGGTACAATTGATTTTCCTGAGTTCCTGAACCTCATGGCAAGGAAGATGAAGGATACCGACTCCGAGGAGGAGCTCAAAGAGGCATTCAGGGTATTTGACAAGGATCAGAATGGTTTCATCTCCGCAGCTGAGCTTCGTCATGTGATGACTAACCTTGGGGAGAAGCTTACCGATGAAGAGGTCGATGAGATGATAAGGGAAGCTGATGTGGATGGCGATGGCCAGATAAATTATGAGGAATTTGTCAAGGTTATGATGGCTAAGTGATGACCCCCTCCCCACCCGAAATTTATTTTTATGAATTTAAATTAGGAGGGGATAACAGGGTTGTGACTAATATAATGGGATTTCTAGTTTCCTTGTTTACAATTTTTATTCGATGGTTTCTTAAACCAAGGCTCTTAGGAAGTGGTGTTGGTGGCATATCCAGCTGGTTTTGTTGGAATGTTCACTCTTCTATGAGTTCTTATTGCATGTTTTTTTTTGTTTTTTTTTTAGATTAACGTGGATGTCCAAATAGATAAAATTTTGAATTAATTGTATTTTTGACAATTTGCTTCTTCCTGCCTGTAATAGGCGATACCCGTGTACGAAGAATTTGTATCCTTGTTGATTTATTTTATTTCAATGCAACCTGTTGGATGGATGACCCATTCTATGAGTTCTTATTGCACGTTTTTTTTTTTTTTTTTTTTTTGTTTAA